TTCTGTGATTCTATGATCCTATATAAGATAAATCAGAGTCAGGTAAGCGGTAAGTGGTCCCTGTTGCTATTTTTTCTTTCCCACCAGCTAAAGAGGCAGGCTTTGGGGGGAAAGAATGACCTTAAGTCCTGACCAACTTGAAGGATGAAGGAAAACAATAGGGAAATCTATTTACCAACTTAATTCTTACAGATATATCATTGGATGGAAGAAATAGTGAAGGTCCATTCTGACCTCCTCCAGAAAATATATATTGGATCATCATACGAAAAACGACCACTTTATGTTCTGAAGGTACAGCTGTGACTTACTGAAAAATATTTCCAAGGAAGTGGTGGGGTTTGGCCAGAACACTTTCTGAAATCTATACTTACATGCATATTTTTGTGGAGTTTAGGAGTTTCCTAAGTTCTTCTATTAAGGTGCATTACCTTTGCAAAGGCATTTGACCACATTACGTTCCTTGTTGGGTCACAAAGAAATTATCACATCTAGGCCATCATCCAAAGGCATGAAATACTGGCATGGTGGGTACCCTCCTCTTTTGACTACGAAGCCAATGCAGTTTGTTGCCGTGCATAGCTGGTGATCTACTTTCTTGACCTTGGGTTTTGCTGCAGTGGTGTCTATGTTAGGAGCTTGCTGCAAGCAGCCTGAATATGGCTCTCTGACTGTATGTGAATGTAACTGCGACCAGTATCCTGGCTCAGGATCAGTCTAAGCTCTCCCTGCAAGACAGATGCTGCTTCTTCTGTATTGTTCACCCTTTTCACTTCCACTTTTATGTGGTACACTTTACAGCGGTGACATTTCAATACAATGTCTCTTTTGTCAGCTTTCTAAAAGCCAGAACAGGTCCAAAAGTGCCATATGGATTGACTGTGGTATCCACGCTAGAGAATGGATTTCCCCTGCTTTTTGCCTGTGGTTCATAGGCCATGTGAGTAGATAAGTACATCTGATTACCGTTTTCAAAGAAAAGCAAATAATCTTGATGCCATTTACCTTCTCTGCCCAATTTCACTCTAAGCTCCATAAAGTCTTAATCAGTTTATTTCCACAACACCAACACGAGATTGATGTCTAAGCTGCATATGTAGCAGTGACCATGTTTGTATGTGTGTGTGTGTCAGTAGATGGAGGTGGGTGTGTGAGAGAGACAAAGTCGTATGGATCGAATGCAAAAGAGCTCAGATCTATTCGCAAATACGAAAGAAACTTCAAAGTATGCACAGCAAATTCAGCCAAGACATACATAATTATGAATGGTCAGGGATGGAGAGGGCAGGCCAGGAAAACCAAGTATTTGGTAATCTACTAGGGCTACACCTATACTGCCACATGGATCCAAGGAATTATCTTGGCTCTGGGTCATGCAGCACATGGTAGCTCATGCCCATTTTACTCCAGCTGGCACTGCCTGGAGTAGATCAGAGGACACCCAGAGTGAGCTCAAGCTGTCCTACAACCCTTGGTTCTTCCCTATGTGTTTTCCTAGGTACCCCACACTTGCCTGCTCCAGGCATGGCATAGCTCCACACCAGCAATCTCGACGTAGCGCTTGCTGGGATATGTGAGCTGCTGCTGTGCCTGCTACTGCTGCTCCACCTCCTGCCTCTGCATTTCCTATTTGTGTGCCTGCTTTTTTTCTGGATCTGCTTCATTCAGAGAATGAGGCCACGCAAGCCACGTTCTTCTGAAGGTACCATGTCTGATGGTACCATCTCTCATGTCTATGAGATGCCCTTGTTTCAGACCTCCAGAACATGACCAACAACTGCCAGCCATCTGCATAGTACCATTTCATGGAAACCAGTAAATCACTGGTGGGATGACACCGTAGTATGGGCTTAGCCCAAAGAGCCTTGATGTGCAGCTGTAAACCCATGGTCACATGTCATCTTTAATGTCTTTAATATCTGCACTGCTCAGCATAGTGAACAAAGGTACACCAAAAGATACCACATCCATGGTGTACACCCACATCTTAACAAATTTTGCCTTGGTCTTTTTGAATTTAAGGTACCTCTGCTCAACTCATCATGCTGAACTGATGGCCCAGTTCCTAGTATGGACCATGGAAAGGCTCCTAGGGACATTCTAGCCCAGACAAGGTTGCCCGGCTTGCTCAATCAATATCCTAAGATATTATTTATTGTTACTTTATCACAAAAGCAAAGTTCACAGTAAAATTAAGTTAGATGACATTGAGTCATCACAGTCACCAATACCGTCGGCAGAGAAAAAACATAGATGAGTCCTTGAAAAATGAATTATGGTTTGGCCGTGATGGAACTAAATAATGATGATGACGATAATAAGAAATGTGTTTATTTCTGTCCTCAGTCGCAACTATAAAACCTCAATGACTATCAGATTTGAAAGGAGATTGTGGGAGTTAGGGACATACAGCTGAATGTACCTTGTAACACACTGATAATCCCAGCCTTCAAGGTTCCCTTGGAGAGAAATGCATTTGCCCTTTTCATGCTGCTCCAAACAATTACCTGCCGTGCTGTCACTTTGGCAGTGACATGTCCCTGCAGCATTTTTCAAAAGTATCAAGCTGAACATTTAGGTTTTCCATTCCGTTGGTGTAATTTATGTGTTTTTAAATTCAAATTTTATTTCTATATCACTTCATGAAGTAACAGTTTAAAATATGACAATAATACACATCTGCACACACACACTGAAATCACTAGCGCTCTCTAGCAAATCCTAGGCATTCTTTATAATGGGTCCACTCTTTATCATTTAATTTTGTTGTTAAGATTGTAGAAAGATTGACATTTCTCATTTAGTCAAAGAAATTCCATTGCCTGAGGAAAAATAGGAAGGATTTAAAATGAAAGAAAATGGCTTAAGTAAGGCATAATGAAAAAAAAGATATGACTAAGGAATTGGTCTGTACTAATAGTAACAAACCCGCTTATCTAGCTTAAAATTTATCCCTGTGTTATGGACCAACACCCAGGTTAGGTATCACTAAAGCCTTCAAAACAGACTGTGAGGCAAGATTAGCAATGTAGATCTTACTGGCTCTTGGCATACAAGTGCATTGAACTCACAATGCAACCATAATAAATGATTTTATGTACAGGAGACATCGGAAACATTACTTGCTATTATTGAACTTGCTTTATTTTATGCTACTTTTGTGGTATTTGGGGTAGGAGGGAAGATTCCCATCATTTATACAGGCAGCTAAAGCTCAAACCTTCCTGTTAATAGGTTTCAATTCTATCCCATGACCACCCGTTAAGAGCTACTTTGCTATTTAGCAATTTCTGTGATGTGCCTCTATCAGGAGCTACACTGGCCTGACAACTGTACCATTATTTAACATATACCACCAGATGCCTTTCTAGGAAGTCAAGAAAACCACTATTATGAATGCTTTTCATAAGTTTTCCCTGTGCTTTGTAGGCAACCCATGTGCGTGAGAGAGATCAAACCATGACAACACTTCTGGAGCACTTTGATTTCTATGTCATGCCGGTGATGAACGTGGATGGCTATGAGTACACGTGGAGCCATCCCTCTGTACGTAGAGCTTTTTTGACAGGCTGTGCAAAGTACTGATGTGCTATTTATGGGAACCATCAGTGTGCATGCTTAGGGCACAATTTCCATCCTGGAACTACGCATCCCAAACTCTTAATCTGTCCTTGGAATTTCTGCATCTCTGCCCTATTTAAACCACAACAAATACTGCAACTATTTGGTATTTGACCCACAGTACCTTTGTGTCTTCCAAGCTGCTGGAAACTCATTTGGAAATGACAGAATACCGTCCTGAGATTTTAATACATCCAGATGTCAGGGAACACCTGTGACAGCCATCAGCAGCAAGGTTACAAATACTGGCACAATCCAGCACTAGCTGAATAGCTGTGTCAGATAGAGCACAGCCAATAATTCACTCCTTCCTCCTGCAAAGTAGCCCCATTCTCCGAGTACTTTTTGTTTGAGACAAATGAAGGTACAACAGATATCTTCTGTCCAGGATTTTATTTATTGGTTGTAAATTCCAAGTCGTCAAGATGGTTCTTTGATTTTTAGATCCTTCACTCAAGTTAAAAAAAAAGTCTCCTTCACTATTTTACTCATTCAATCTTTAACCCATCTTGGCTCACATTTGGATAACTATGTACATACACCTCAACAGTTGCACACCGTATTTCCAGCTTTCCACATCCTGTGTGCAAGGCCTACAAAAAGGTTGGATTTGGACCCCTAAAGTCAGATAAACTTCCTTCCTTCCACACTCCAAATCCATTGAAATCAGGTCAGACGTGACCACTTCTTATTCTACCCAACATAACCTTGCATCATCCAGCCTCTGTGGCAATCAGATTGTGGCTTTATAATCTTTCTCGATCTTTTACCTCCTCATTGGTATATGACCTGTAGAGGCAGGTGTGAGAAGTCACGTTTAACTAACCAGTGACATCGTGCATCATTTTTCTCAGCTTTTTCACCAAACATGGCTTCTGTGCCTCTTTCCATAGAAGCGTCTGTGGAGAAAGAGTCGCTCTTCACATGGTATCAGCAAGTGCATCGGTACTGACATGAACAGGAATTTTGATGCTCACTGGTGTGGTATGACATTTCCTTCTTATTATACCCCTGACTCACTTTTAACCTATAAAATCTTTATTTGGAAAAAAAAATATATCATTTATCATGTCACAAATGCAGCTGAATATCCGTTATGAACCAGTGAACACTTCCCCAGCTTGAGATACTTTTTGTTGGGACTCAGGATTTTTCCTCCCAGGGAAGTTCTCCACACCAGGGACTAACCTCTTCCCAGCACGATGATGAGAGAGGGACCTGGACTCTGGTTCCTTCCACTTGCAACACACCATGACACACCAGGCACAGGCTGGCAGGAGGGAAGAAGTAAAGATGTAAGAGGTTGCCATGTCACGCAATGCCTCTTGTACCACCCAGTTGGGTAGATGCTCCACTGTATTGTATGAACTGGTCACCTTGGCCATCCTTCAGTAATGCCTGGCTGACCACGATTTCTTGGCTCTCAGTGTTTGTTGTCAAAGCTCTATCACATTTACTTATGCACAGGCACTTTAGTACTTGACAGGTTGTTAATAGTCTGCAGAATAGCTATCTGAAAATGTTACCCTATAGATCAGATCTGGCTTCACTCAGTACTGACACTAATGTCTGGTATGACTTTCAGTCATTTTAGTCCATTGATAGATTGGGAATAAAGATGTTTGTTTACCATTTGTGGCTATTATATAGAGAAAAAACATACATTTTTTCAGGCACAAAATTACAAAGATGGGGACCAAGTTTTAAAACTAAACAGTATAAATTTTGCATAAAAGCAGAACTCAGAGAAGTCTGAAGAAATAAGAGTAAAAACACTCCTACGTGATAGACATATTAGCTTCAGAGAAGGGTTATGTGATGTAATGCATTTAACTTATCAAGCACTTTTGGTGGTGAACAACTTCTGAAGTGAAGAAATTATTCTACTTTACAAACAGCAGAAGAATACAGGTAGATTAGAAAGTGCTTCTTCTATAAAGAAGTCTTTGGACAAAATGTATACTTTTTTTACAAGGAAAAAGCAGAATATCTTACTTTAGTAACCAGGGAAATACTTCTACTCTTTTCAGCCATGTTATGCTCCTCTATTAGATATGGTTGAAAACATAGACGAGAGAAGCCTCAGCACCTTGCAGGGACATTTGAGCAAAAAAAAATGTTTGTACAGATGACAGTACAAGCCAAAAGTCAGGTGCTTCCAATAACTTCAGCAGATGACTGTAAAGATCTCCCTAGGTTTCTAGTCCCTTGAATTATACAGTCAGTATAATGCTGAAAACCAAAATTCTCTTTTTCTTAATTAGCATTAAAATGTTGCAACGGTTGAACAGCTTTGATCCACAACATAGCAACTGTAGAATCTCTATTATTGCTGTAGCTGTGCAAAACACCAGGAGTTCATCAGGATCCTCTGGAGACCAAGCAGGACTGTTATCACTTTATAATAATGTAGTTATAATTACTTGTGTCAGTTCAAAACAACAACATAATTGCGTCCACGGGAAATGAACACAAATTCATAAGAACCTGCAATTTAATCTTCACTCACATACTTTTAAACAGAGAAGAGTTCTTGTCAGGGGTGCCAAATGCTCAGAGTTCCACTGACTTTAGATTTGCTTGTGACTACACTTTGCGCCACCACAAAATTCCAGGGTTTAATGTCTATGCAGTTAATCAGAGCTGTACTGCAGCATTTATCTGTATTTCCTCTTCAGCTGCTCAGATAACAACTTTATGAACAGGTACAAAGCCTTCACGTTTTTTATGAAAAGCAAAATATACTAAATGCTCTGATACACTAGACTTTTAGAGTAATAAAAGCAAAATTACTCTACTCAAACCAATGCACTCACTCCGTGGAACTAAATTTGACTAAAAGCCAGTTTTACCTGTGTTTTCCACATCATTCACTTAGTTGGCTGTTCTCAGTATGACCAAGGATTTATAAAGCCGTCAGAACATTAATCCAAGATTAACAACCAACAGATTCTTCATTGCCTTTTTCCTTAGACAGTACTCACTTCTGTGCAAAACAGAACAGTGTAAAACTTGACATTCTCTTTTTGCCACTTTTGCATGATTTTGCATAGATGCCAGGAATTGCTTGTACTTTCACGTGCATGAATTTTCGTGGACTGGGAAATCCTTCTCAATTCAGCCACATTAAAGATTATACATATATCCCAGAAAATAAAGCATACCACATCCTTCTGTGGCCCAGCACCCTTGTTTCTGACCTCCCAGTCTGCATCTTCCAGACTCTGCCTCTGTTGGCACTTCTCCCCCCTAGTCTGCTCTCTTCACCATGTATTTTCTGCTGCTTCTGCTGTGTCATACAAGGGTGTAGGGCACCTGAAGATTTCTTTTCAGCCATTGATGCTATAAGGGGGCTTGCAGTAGCTGTGGAACAGCTGAATGCATGAAAATACAGGTTTATTCCTAACCTCAACAGCCAGAGACCACCATGCCATCTAGTCCTTCTGTGTATCACAGTTAAATCTCACCCAAATACTCCTGTGCAGATCATTGCAACTTTTACTTAACTAAAGCATATATATCTCAAAATCGCCAAGTGTTTTTGGGGACCAGATATGTTCCCCACTACTTTGTGGCATGCTATAAATCTTCCTCAGATACCACTGGCGACAGAAGGCGCTTCCTTTTTTCCTGTATCATGACAACAGCTTGTGTTGCTTCTACAGGGCCGCTACCCTGCAGATGCACTGTCATTATTGATTTCTGGAAGATGGACATGTGTTAAAGTGTCCTGTGCCCAGGGATCAAGAAAGTCTTGTGGGTGCTAAAGTACTCAGTAAGCTTTCAAGATTTAAGGATAAAACGTCCATTTAAAATACTGATAGTAGCAAAGGGGAAAATTTGCACAATTTATTAAAGCGTGAAGAGCTTACATTTAACACTAAAGAACCTGGCTGCTTCCATAAAGTTATTTGGCCGTATTCTGAAGATAGCAAAAATGGGGAATCCTAGCTGTCTCCTTGGTAACTTGTTCCAGTGTCTAGTCTTCCTCATTCTTAAAAAAAAAAAAAAAAAAAGGTGCATTTTTTTCAATTTGATTTGTGTTTCTTCAGTTTCTAATCTGCAGTTCACTTTACCCTGAGATAATCACTTAGAGCTGCCTTTTCCCTGTAGCACTTCTAGGTTTTAAGAAGGGATCTCACAATCTCGTTCTTGATGGATTTAAATGGAGCATTTTCATCCTCTCCTCTAAGACTTTTTATCCAGTTTTGGAATTTTTTTTTTCTTGATCTTTTAATTGTTTTTTTCACGAGTACAGTGGGTGAGAAATCCTAGTAGGCTCACACTTATGTCCTCACATGGCAGAGTCTGTAGTTTCTTGTGTGTCAGCATCACACGCTGCTCTTTCATTAGAGGAACAGAAATACAAAGGGGAGTAATTTAAGGACTAACATTGTGCTCTCTTTTGTTACAGGGGAAGGAGCATCTTCCTACGAATGTCAGGAGACATACTGTGGGCCTTACCCAGAGTCTGAACCTGAAGTGAAAGCAGTGGCTCGCTTTGTCAGAGATCACAAAGACATCATTAAAGCATACATAACCATGCACTCTTACTCCCAGTTGGTATTGTTTCCATATTCTTACACTATGGACAAAAGCAAAGACCATGATGAGCTGGTAAGTCTTCCCACCTCTTTGAATTTTCACACTTCTTCAGAACTTCTTACCCTGCTTGGTTATGCCTGTAAGGAGGGAGTCACAGTGCCCTGAAGATCAAGCATTAGGAAATGAGATTTCTCCTGAAGTTCTTCAGGAAGTGAGGTCTGGCCAGGGATACTTATTTTACATGGTCCTAATGGTAGGATGGAAAACATAGCCTTCTTTTGTAGAATTTTACATTATTGAGCCACCAAATCCCACAATAAAAACTCTCCTAGAAGACGGACAGAAAAAGTAGCCACTGCTTTTTCCCACTGACCAGAAAACTCTATGTTTGTCTGGATTGGTAAAGAATATCCAGGCTAAAATGGGATTTGCTAACACAGAATGATTAAGCCATAAGAGTAGGTGGACAGTTTAGCAATATTTTTCTTATGTAAAGCTATCAAAACCCTTAGAGCAAGGAATTCCCTCTCATACATTTCCTAGCCCACCTCTCGTGTTTCCTAAACTCCAAGTGCTGAGGCAAGAAATTCTTTTATTTGCAGCAAGGGCTGCTGCCTAGCGGTAAGAAAGGAGAAGAAATCATGTAAAGTGGACCAGAAAGCAGGTTTGCAGGCTTTGAGATTTGCCATATGGGAAGACAGTGCATGTCTGAGGTGGACAGGTCATTTCATACGTTACAAGACATAAGGACAGACAGTCAAAGACTTTATGGAGATACAAGGTTGGCATTTGCACATACTACTGTCATCTTTACTGCTTTTCAAACTCATGCATCTCCCATATCACTGAACATATTTATTTTTAAAAATAATATTTAAAAAGAACATAT